TTGTTCCAGTGGGACTGCATCATGGCCTGGAACTGGCTGACCATCTCAACCCACTGAGCCTCCAGGCGCCGGTACCTGGCTTTGCATTCCCGCAGCTCTTTCCTCTGCTTGGAAAGCCTATGCTCATAGTCCTCAGTGAGCTGCTTCTGCTGAGCCTCCTTCTCGGTCACATCCAATTTGAACTGAGCTGTTTTGCCAACTCTTTCTCGTGGTGGCTGCTTAGCTCCAACAACTGCTTCCTGTTGGGGCCCTAAGGAGCCCAGGCGGGCAGACGAGTGGCGAGTAGAGGCTGGCGAGGTCCCCCTTGACCTGAGTGACATTGAGTTGGCCAAGCCCACCCAGCCGGCCATTAGGCAGATCATATTAGTGGTCCACGGGATTTAAAATTATGAATTTAGTGGTCCCTAAGGTCTGAAAGTTGGTGACACCTGTTATAAGCCATGTCATGTATGGTTAAAAAGGTGGCAAATTTGCAGGTAGATGGTGAGCATCCAGTCCCTAATCAAACAAGAAGGGGGGAGGGATGCAGCTTAGGGGTATTTTTCTTTTAGTCTGCTGAGTGTATGGAAGAAACGTGATATCATCAGAGAGGGAGTGGGCATGCACTGTTAATGCAAGCTTTTGATGGCGAAAGAAGGGTACCAACATAAATTTATTGTGCTGATTTTAATCCTTTAAAAGGACAGAAGCCCTTGAGTACTCCAGAGAGTGTATGCAGCAGTTCATAAGCTGGAGGCTCCCCCCACCCCCTGCCATATTTAAGAGAACCTCTCAAATTCATCTTGACTTGAGAGGACTTCATGTCATTCTTCTGGTATTGCTTTATTTGGGGGGGGAGGGTGTTTAATGGACTTTCCAATCCAGACTAAAGGTGTGGGATTTTCTAGTGGGCTCCCATCCAAGTTTTAACTAGATCAGACTCTGCTTAGCTTTTCACAATCAGCCAAGATTGACTAGCTGCTGCTATCTTAGCGTGACATCTCTGCACTGAGATGTAAAACCTAATGTGCTTTACTTTAAAGTACTGCCCTCTTTAGTTACCCTTGGCATATTAATCCACATGGGTTACATTGCTTGAAAGGTGATACTATAGTGTTTTTTTTGGGGGGGGGCCTTCAATTATTATGGGGAGATACAAGAAGACGGGCTGCGGGAGAAGAAGAGTCACAGCCGTCATGAACTTACCCTGTCCATTTTTGTTCCCTGTTCCTTTCCAGGAGTGTTGTTTGCCCAAACTCCAGGAGCCTCGTCTTCTCACAACAAAGGAAGCACCAACAGTGGGCGAAGTTCCAGCAGTACTGGCAGTAGTGGCGGCGGGGGTGCAACAGGTGGCACGGCAGCAGGTTCACAAGTCGGTGTGCCCCCTGCACCGACTTCTACCTCAACCAACTCCTTATCGCCTTAAAACCCACCACACCTCTTCTTCCTCCTCCATCCCGCCAAAATGAAGACAGTTTGGACAGGACATTTGAGACCGGCCCTCCCCTTCCCTGTTTCCCCCGTGTTGAGTGGGGGAGTGAAATTGTGCCTTCCCCACCCTCTTGATACCCCCGTAGGCATCAGGGCCTGCCTGATACATTTGGATGGGGTTTTCTTGGATTTCGGGGCTGGATGGGAGTGGAATCACCTTACCACGCGTGGCATCCAGTTATGGACATTGAGGGGGTAACATGTATAGTGCAGGGGGGGGGGGTCTCTAAAGGTGCAAACTCCCCTGTCCCCACCCTGGCAGCAAGGAATTCAGGTATGGTACTGTCCTAGGATGGGACAAAGATTCAGATAACAAAGTGCATTTTTTTCTAATGTAGCTGAAAACCAAACACCAAACAAAATTAAGGGGAAGAGGAGTACCTGGAATGATGGTTTTCTCCTGTCCTCCTTCCTATGCTGTTTTTTTTTCCTTCCTCCCCTTTAAAGCATTTTTTACCCACTTGGTATTCTCTATTTAGGGTTGTGCTCCATGGCCTTCTGGGCACTGCAGTCCCTGCATACCCAGAGGGCACCAATTTGGGGGAAGGCTGTTCCTAATGAATACATTGGAAAGAAAAACCACACAAAAGCTCTAAGTGGGGCTGGAGGGGTGTTGTTAAAATTCTGAGCCGGAGCAATACTGTGCAGACTAGCTTTTTGACGTGATGCATTGTAGATCCATAACTCCTTACCTCATGCAAATCCACACTTTGCACTGTGTGTCCTTTTGATTTTGATTTTGATTTTTTTTTTAAGTTATTCTTTGGAATACCTCCAGACAAGTAGCGGTGGCGGCAGTAGCAGCTGGTGTGCCTCCATTCTCATGGGCTTGCTTTGAAATGGAACCCTTAAATAAAATATATATATATGTATATGCAGATATCAAGGATTTCACAGATTGAGGATAATTTGGGGAAAGCTTTATTTCTTGCCCTTTTTTTTTTTTGAAAACTGTCCAACTATTTAAGGAAAATGAAAGGGAGGGTGTAAATACAGTGTTTATTTTCAGTAGATCTCTCTGCTCTCTCCCCCCGCCCAAATTGGACCCACAAGCAAGCTTCATGTATTTGCATTTATTAAGGAAAACATGTCTAAAATAGGTTTCTTTTTTTTCCCCTTGCGATTATAACAACTCCTTGGAGCTGTCTGACTCTTTCTTCCTCCCCCCCCCCCCCCCAAGATCTGGGTAGGACTTTGAGGGTGCTCAGGTAGGTTTTTGTGTGTGGAGTGGGTGGGGTTTGAGGGGCTACGGTAGCATTTCATAGGATAATATTTTTATACAGAGCTGTCCCCACCCCACGTATGGATTGTACGTTTGTGAGAATGAGGACTGAAAGGAGCAGCCTGCCAGCTGTTTGTTGGCTCTCTTCTAATTCTTTCTTTTAATCTACGGAAGATTCCGTCTGTCATATGGTCAGAGTGGCTGGATTACTTGAGGGTTTCTTAAAAACAAATTAAATAGTAGCATTTACCTGTGGCGTAATCTCTGCAAAGCTGCTTTTGTCTAATCTTCTTTTCAAAGCACACCTATTTAGAAAACAGAAGAGAGTGGCATAGTCACGACTTCTCTCAGGCCGGGTGGGAATGATAACTGGGGGTGCACTACAGGATCCCCAAAGACAGGTCACAATCAACTTACAGCTACTGATATATATATATTTTTACCCCCCCCCCCCACTTTGAAGACCATGATTTGTTAGACAGAGTGCTAAACTCCTCAGACTCTGTTAAGATTGGCTTCCTCGCTAGCTCCGAGATATGTTTGGAACATATAAATTGTTACAGGTTGTCCCTGTGCCTCCAAAGGTAGTTTTAGCAAAGTTTGCCTGAATACTACACAGGGTCACATGGGATTCTACCAGTCTCCAGTGTTGTTGGGATCTTCATGGTCCTCCAGAATCACTCCTGCCATGTTTATAATTTCATTTATAAGGAATCAAAGGGTCTGCAGGACAAATACCATTATTCCATTATTTCTAACAGAGATCACTCCATTTTTGCCCCTTAGCTCGGTCTTCTAGCATCCTTCAACTAGCTATATTTGGGTTTGCGTTAGAACAGCTGCGCAAGAGGCATCTACCTAGATTTTTTTCCCCCCCTCACTGCTTTTTGCAGTAGCAAAGAAGGTGAAGGAAGAGTTTGGTCTGTAGGTCGTCTGCAAAGTATAGAAAGGTAGCTTGGAAACAACATATTCGCAATCTCAAAAATAGTGGTTTTTCAGAGCCGCTGCTTTCCGTTTTTCTTTTCCTTCTGACCTCTTCCTTTGACGCAGTTTAGGAAAGCAAACTTCCTTTGGAGTTTGGTGTTTTCATTTCATTTCCAAAAGACCAGTGAATCCAAAATAACATCGACAAAAGATTCGCCATCACAAAGGCCCCTGTGCACTATTTTGATGGGCTTTCCCCCCCCCCCCCACATTTTAATTTGCTGTTGAGGGAAGTGGACCCTGGTGAGCAATTTGGTTAATTCCCTCTTTCGATTCTCCTAGGTATATGCACTCCAGCTCACTCCCTTCGTGCCCTCTGGAAGTATAATTTATTTCAGCCTGTGCAGTTCAGTGACTGCCGCTTTCAAAGAAACGGAGCCTCTGTAAAGAGAGACCCTATTTGTGGATTTAACGTGATACGAGACAGAAGCTTGAAAACTAGGCGGAGACACAGTTGGAAGAGGTTGCTTTACCACTGAGGTCCTCCCAACGTTCAACACACACTGTAGAGTCAGGATTTCGTTTTGGCAGGTTTTAATTTTCTATGTGGTTAGCCCGAGTAAGCTCTAAAGAATTTTTATAGGGTTTGAAGCGGGCGTATGTTCCTTCTGCCTCTTCCTTGCTGGGATTTTAATGCTATCACTTAGTTGCATCATACAAAAGACTGACATGTGGCAACCCTTTCCCTCAGGGCTGGTTTTTAAAAAAAGCTGGATTCTGAGATACTGTAATTGATTCGGCATGATAGAAAGTATTTGAGTTTAACGTCAGTATTTTCAAGTATGAGGAGTGCATTTGCCCGCCCCCCCTCAATAACCTGTTCCAGCCAATTGGCTGTGTTGGATGACCCAGACGCAAGGAGGCATTGGCAAGGAGGCGTTGGGCGATGGGAGTCCCACATTTCTGATCGGATGCCAAAGTAGCAGGTTGTGGAGAATTGACAGTTGTGGATCCAGCAGCTTTTGGGTCTGCTAAGAATAGGAAAATTCAGCTTCTCTTCAGGTCCCACGAATGCCGAAAGGGGTGCACTTCATTTTGGGAAGAAGAGCGTCCTGGCCAAGTGGAGGCGTTTCCCAGAGTTACAGATCCCAAGCACTGCAATCTATTTTGGGGGCCTTTTATCGTCGTTCAGCTTTTCAGCATCTTCCCCTCTAATGCCAGATAAGGGGAAACCCCTTGGTTACAATATGGCTACAGGTCTGGAAACACGGGGCAAAGCACGGCGTCTCTAAATGGTGGGGGAGGAGGAGGGATTCACTTTCTGAAAGGAATGGAGGGCTTTGAGCCCCACAAGCTGCCCCACACGGGGAATTTTTTCCATTCTCAGGATAGCAGAGGGTATCTCATAAGGGAAAGAAGAAAAAAAAGACCTTCAGAAAGTAAAATCTAGGAGATTGGCTTCTAAGGGGTGTAGTGGAACTGCAAAAAAAGTGGCTTAAATATGAAAGAAAGAGAAAAAAGTGCTCTTAAAGGCTGAACCTACTAACCCTTTTTAGATGGCACAAACCATTCTTTTTCTTTCTCTCCTGCTTCCATTGCTCTGTTGAGATGGGGTGGGGAATGCAAAAAAGGGGGGGGGGGAAATGACTGTCGGGCACATTAAAAAAAAATGCTTCTCCTTAGTGAGATACTGCAGATATTGCGTTGGAGGAAGAGACACATTTCTCTTTCCACTTGCGGTCCTTCCCAGAGGGTTTATCTGTGACCCATAGGCAGCCAAAGGGAGGAGAGCATAGGGGCAAGGCGCCCCTTATCATTTCTTTTGGTCTGATAACAAGCGTGGTATCGCATCCCAGTCTGGGGGCATCCCCCCCCCCCGGAACACCCTGCCACTTGAAGACTTTCTCTGAAGACTAGCTGTGAAATTGGAGCCTTTCCCTCTCGTGCCTTCACCACAATTCTTGGTATTTTCTTGTGTTGTGTGCCGAATCGGCTTTCCCCAACACGATTCCCTCCAAATGTGACAAGGACTCCAACTCCCAGAATGCCCAGACAATGTGGCTTAAGATCACTCTAGGGATTATGGGAACTGGAGTGCTACCACTGCTGGAGTGCCCAGCTAGGGAAGACTTGGTGTCTAGGGTTTCTGTGAGATCTGGAAACTTGACTGCCCCTTAGTTTTTCTGATCCAATCCACATATACACCTCACTGGGTGAAACCAGCTGAAAGCATGCGAGACACTTTTTCTGCAGAAGCAGGCTATTTGAGGATATGCCTCGTTGGGTTTGAATAAAAAGCAAAGAGTTCTCAATCTTTGTGGAAATTTCATAGGCTAAAATAGCTAAAGCAGTCATTTTCTAGATTTTGTGTCTGAGGTGGGTTTTGTAAGTATGGCAATTAAGAAATCTCTACTTCCTCCAAGAAAAACCTTGAGTCATAATTGCCAGTAAGGTCCATCAGTATCTATAGTCTCTGCCACATAGCCAGCGTTTTCTATTTTTGTTCCTTTCATCTCCTGTGCGAGTCTGATCGTTTCCTATCAGAGCTTGCTTTTTTTAAAAAAAAACAAACCTGTATTTCTACAATTCTTAAAATGATTATCCAAATTTGACTCAAAGACCCATGTCCCTGCAGGCCACGTCCAAGATATAATTTTATGCAAAATTGTTCTTCTGCATTCTTTCCTTAAGCAAGCTATCCCCGGTTTAACCTTAGCTATAGGTAGAGGATATCTAACAATATAGTTGTTACGGAATATATTGGTTATCGAGTAGATAAAAACACCTCACACAGAGCGGAGGAAGGGGAGGAATTACTCCTATATTCTTCATTGTTCTGTGCAAAAAGGTGTCTCTATTGAGAAGTTCTCTGTTTTGTGTCCTGGCTTCTCAAACATGCCTTTGCTAAGTTGGTTAAAATGAGTTAAAGCAGCCTTTTTGTTGTGATGGAAGAATCCTGGTCCTCCTACCTCTCTTTCACCCAAAACGGGAACTATTTTTACCTAACTGCTGGATGGACCATCTTCTCCCAGCAGCATAGATAGTATTTAACAAAGAGGCAATTGAGGTAGCCATCTTGTCAAAGATTAGGCCAAGCACTGTTCCCACCTCTGTTGGCAGCTGCTGGTAGCAGCACAAGCCTTACCTTCCTTTAGTAAAGTAACACATGCATAAGTGTCTTTCTCGTGTTTGCTCCTCCATTGCAGGAGCTGCAATTCAAGTAATGAACCATAATTTCCTCTTTCACTCGAATAGGGAAAACAATGGTTATTAGCGTTGGAATAAACTAGGATATTAACTCAGCTTCAAATAATGCTTTAATGTCCCAGAGTATTCCATCTTTTGACGGATCCGTTCAAATTACAGGGAAGCTGGTTTAAACAGAGAGTTTTTGTTTGCTTTGCTTTATGTTCACAAAGAGGTTGTGAGGCTTGGCATAAAGCATGTGTGTAGAAGTACTTCAGCCATAAAATTGTCCAAATGTGGCCAATCCTTTAGCGATGGCTTTCAGGAACTACGAAGTGCAAGTTATCACTCTTGTTTCCTCATTTTGGTAGCTCTTCCTTTGGAATTCATTGGTCTCAATCAAAGTAATTTATGCCAATTTTGCATGAGACGCCCTTCCAACCTGAGCATATCACTCTATTCATTATCGGTGGGTAGGCCTTGGCATTTTCCCCATAAACATGGTGAAAGAGGGTTTGGGCTGTAGTGTGCAGGTGGGTGGAGAAGAAAGATTCTATAACTAAATTTATATATAAATATATATATATATATATATATAAAATGAGTGTGTATGTTTGTGTCTCTTTTCCCTTTTTTTGAGTGTGTAATTGTGGGCGTGTGCGCGTGCGTGTCTAAGAAACGTATAAAATTTATTTTTCAGTCCAAGCTTTTTGACTAAGGATTGGATTTGTAACTCAGGGGAATTGAACCTGCTGTCTAGAGCTTGATTGTATCGGGGGAGGCGGGTAGGGGGAAGGGTCTCGGAACAAGGGCGGGTTAAAAAAAATGTTCAGATTTGCTTGCTGTGGC